GTTTCCATCTTCTCCATCCCTATTTCCATCTTCTCCATCCCTGTTTCCATGTTCTCCAGACACTTCTCCATGTTCTCCATCCCTATTTCCATGTTCTCCATCCCAATTTCCATGTTCTCCAGCCCCATTTCCATCTTCTCCATCCCTATTTCCATCTTCTCCATCCCTATTTCCATCTTCTCCATCCCTATTTCCATCTTCTCCATCCCTATTTCCATCTTTTCCATCCCTGTTTCCATCTTCTCCATCCCTATTTCCATCTTCTCCATCCCTATTTCCATCTTCTCCATCCCTATTTCCACGTTTAATTATTTTATTGCCCTTTTATTGTCCTTTTATTGATCTTTTCCTTGTCTTTTATTGTTCTTTATTTATTGACCTTCACTGACCTCTGTTGTCCTTTATAGTCTTGTGTTGTCCTTTATTTATTAACCTTTATCGTCCTTTTATTGTTCATTTATTGTCCTTTTATTATCCTTTTATTGTCTTTTATTGGCCCTCATTTACTGACCTTTTATTGACCTTTTATTATCCTTTGTTGTCTTTTATTGCCCCTCATTTATTGACCTTTTATTGACCTTTATTGTCCTTTCATTGTCTTTTATTGACCTTTTATTGACCTTTATTGTCTTTTCATTGTCTTTTATTGACCTTTTATTGTCCTTTATTGTCCTTTTATTTATCGACCTTTTATCGTCCTTTTATTTATTATTCCTTTATTTATTGTCCTTTTATTTATCGACCTTTTATCGTCCTTTTATTTATTATTCCTTTATTTCTTGTCCTTTTATTGCCCCTTCCTTTATCATCCCTTTTATTAATTCTCCTCTCATTTCATTATTTCTATTTTAATTTCCCAATTCCCCAGGGGACGAGCAGCCCAAGCGACGCCCCAACTGATAATTAACGATGATTAAATCTGATTATTCTTCTCGTTTACTCCTCCAGCCCCTCCATTTGGGATTTAGCTTTCCTTAATTCCTTCATTTCCTTGGATTTACTGTGGGAGGAGGGGGGAGGATTCTGGGACAAAACCGCTCGGATCTCCGTCCGTCCTCAACGTTGGCTCCCAGACCTTCCCTGGGTCCAGAAATTCCATCCCAATCCCAAAAAAATCACCTTCTGGTGACTAAAAATGGCCAAATTATCATTTTTTTCCCCCTCCAATGTTCTCCCGCTTTTCAGGAGATTACGGATAGCAGGAATATTCCGGCCGCAGAATTCCTTGCCCGTTGGAATTCCCGTCGCCGGGCAACTCGGGATTCATCCAAAATGCCGATTTTTGCTGATTTTCCAGCACAAACATGGGAATTTCTCTGGAATATCCTCCCAACCCCCCCCTCCCTGCACTGGCCCATCCTTGGGATTCCCTTCCCGTTGGCCGTCGCTTCTCCCTCCCTTCTCCTCCTCCCTCGGGCGTTTTTAACGCAATTCCCAAGTTTCTGAGCTGTTTGCGGCCATTCCCTGGAATTCTGGTCCCTTGGGAATCGCTTTTCTCCTCCTTTTCCTGGTAAATAAACCCCCAAACCCATCGCTTTTTAACCCCGATTTTTGGTAAATAAATACCTGAGTAAGATTATTCCCGATGACATCAGCAAACACATCCCGCTCCGGGCGGGAATATCTCAATTACCGCGACTTCCCAGGCGGGAAGAGCCGGATGTGGGGGTGGAATTTTGCCACGAGATGATCCCTGGAGGGTTTGTTTTTTTTTGGGGGGGGGAAATGAATGAGTTTTTAGGTGGATTTCTACGTTCGAACCAGTTCTGGAGATTGGAGGAGGGGACGTTCCCGGCGGGGTCATCCCGTGGATCCCACGGAGCTGCTGGAGCTGTTAAGGCTCTTCCTCCCCCTCTTTGTCCCTGTCCTTGTCCCTGTCCTTGTCCCTGTCCTGCTCCTGCTCCTGCTCCTTGTCCAGCTTGTACTTGAGGCGCCTCAGGGGGTGGGTGAAGCTCCTGCGGGCGTTTTTGTCGAAATCCTCGGCCAGGCGGAAATTCCTGTCCAGGATCTCGGCGGCCTCCTGCCAGTTCTGGAAGCAGCTGGGCCCCATCCTCTGGA